GGAATTAACAGCCATTGTCAAACTAAGGCAAGAGGATTTGCTAGGAGTTCGAAGCCATCCTGGGCTACATAGTGAGTACCACACCAGCCACAGCGACATTTGGAAGTCCTGTCTTCCAAAAGAGAGAAAGAGGAATGACAACATGGGGAGCACCAGAGCAAACAATGGAGAAGTCAGCTTTCTGAAGACGAGGGGCAAAGAAAGGCGGTAGATACATGAGTATTAGATGTTAGACTGAGGAAATGGCTGACTTTGACCAGAGCATTCTGAGTGGGGGGCAAAAGCAGAAGAAGCAAGGCTCCAGCAGAGAAGTGTGTGCAAAGGAGAAGTGGAGATAGCAGTATTGAAAGGGTTAAGAAGGTTGGCTGAAAAGAGAAAGGTCCAGACTGACAGGAATAGCTGCATAATGAGGTGTGAGGGGGGAAGGGGGCTCTAAAATGTATTGGAAATGTGAACTATTCACCAGGACAATGTCCATAACGGAGAAGCAGGGTTGCCGAAGGCCTTGCTGAGATGTGCATCCGAGACCTGGATAGGCACAGTTGTGACCAGAAGAAAACCAGTGCCAGGAAAGAACTTGCTGTTTGTCATAGCTGTTAATGGCCGAGTTTGCTAAATGTGCACCTTGCTTTGCATAGATACTGCTGTCACAGCAGTGCAGACGAACAGGGCTAACCATGGGTCCTAGGCTGTGAGAGCAAGACACAAGTTTAGCATGCTTTTCACCTTCAACTACATAGGCAACATAGTAAATGGAGAGAGAGAGAGAGAGAGAGAGAGAGAGAGAGAGAGAGAGAGAGAGAGAGAGAGAGAGAGAGAGAGAGTGTAACTATTTCTTCATCTTATGCTCCTTTTCTTCTGATCCCCTTCATTCTCTGCACGGGTAACACTTTGGTAATCCTTTCTCAGCAATGTTCGCTGACTCATTATAGTCTCCTGGGGGCCCTTCACACCTGCTCACTGCTTTTAGTCTTTCATTAAGATGATGTGTTCGAAGCTAGGGGAGCTGGTGCCTGCTTGTAGTCCCAGCATTTAGTAGATAGAGGTAGGAGTTCAAGGGCAGGCTGGATTACATAGCAAGTACCAGACCAGCCAGGGCTACATAGAAAGACCCGTCTCCATTTTTTTTTTTTTTTTTTTTTTTTTAGCAAAAGGTATGTTTAAAGAGTTATTTGGGGGGTAGGGCATTGTGTAAGGCACATGAAATACAGACATAAAAGACATCCTTGATGCCATCAAGTAGCCCCCATACCAGCAGAGAGGAATGAGTTTAGATAGGAACTTACAATATAACACAAGTATGTCACGACCTTAGTTTCCTCACCTATTATACAGCAGAGAGCATTGGTAAATCGATCATGAAATAGTTGATAATTACATGAATTAACACATATAAAGTACTTACAATAGTCTCACGAGAAACACTATCTGGGCACACTGATGCATGCCTGTATTCCTAGCACTTGCATGGCTGAGGAAGGAAGATCACAAGTTTGAGGCTGGTTCGGGTTACGCAGTGGGTTCCAGGCAGGCCTGCCCTACACAGTGAAATGCTTTCTCGAAACAAACAAAACAGAAAACGACAGAAAGCATGCAACAGGCAGTATGTGTGTTGCTCTTATTATTGTTACTACGGTGATGATGGAAGTGCATGAACATAAGGTACTATAAGAATAGAGAAGAGTGTCCCGGAGAGATGGCTCAGTGGTTAACAGCACTGAAAGCTCTTCCAGAGGATCCAAGTTCAAATCTCAGCACCTACACGTTGGCTCATAAACATCTGTAACTCCAGTTCCAGGATATCCAATGCCTTCTTTTGGTACCCAAGGGCCCTGCACATATGGGCACACAGACATCCACACAGGCAAAACATTTACACACATAAAAATAGACAAATCTTGCTGGGTGGTGGTGGTGGCGGCGGCGGCGGCGGCGGCGGCGGCGGCGGCGGCGGCGGCGGCGGCGGCGGCGGCGGCGGCGCACGCCTTTAATCCCAGCACTTGGAAGGCAGAGTCAGGCAGATCTCTGTGAGTTCAAACCCAGCCTGGTCTACAGAGTGAGATCCAGGACAGGCACCAAAACTACACAGAGAAACCCTGTCTCGAAAAACCAAAAATAAATAAATAAATGAAATGAAATGAAAATAAATAAATAAATACATCTTCAGAAAAAAATATAGAGGAGGGGCACTGAACCATGTCTAGAACGGAAGATATCCAAGCTAAGTCCTCAAGATGTTCCTTTCAGTACAGCCTGTACTCAGACGTGGGAGCAACACACCGCATGACATGATTGAAGAGCTGAGAATAACCTAGTTCAGCCACAATATGGAGTATGAGCAGGTGGATAGCAAGAGGTGACTCTTGGGAGGTCATGGAGTTCAAACCAATCTGGATTTTATCCTTTGAATTCTATCCTTTGGTCAACAGTGGCCCATCGGAATGTCTTAAGAGTAGTGACTTGTTGTGAAAGCATGACGACTTGAGTTCAGATCCCAAGAAGAATGTAAAAAAATAAATCCGGGTATGGAGGTGTGTACACTCAGAGTGGGTGAGGAGGAGGGAGATCACAAGGTTTCACTTGCCAGCCAAAACAACAAGCTCCAGGTTCAGTGAGAGACCATCTCAAAAAAAAAGACAGAGGTTGATGATGCAGCTTAGTGAGTAAAGACTTGCTGCCAAGTCTAATAACCTGCATTTGATCATCAGAACTCACAGATGGAAGGAGAGGACCAACTCCCCACAAGCTGTCCTTTGACCTCCACATGCACACACATGTATGCATAGGTGCATGACAAAATAAATTATCAAAAACTCAAAACATGCCAAGTGGTGGTGGTGGAAAGCCTTTAATCCCAGTACTCAGAAGTCAGAGGTGGGTGGATCTCTGTGAGTTCAAGAACAGCCTGATCTACAAAGCAAGTTCCAGGACAGCCAGGGCTACACAGAGAGACCCTGTCTCGAAAAACAAACAAACAACAACAAAAAACCATAAGATGGAGAAAAATCAAGGAAGATACCTGAAGTCAAGGTCTAGTCTCTACAGGTTTATGCATCAAGTGGCATCCCTCCCTGCCAACCCCGTGAATATTTGTGTGTGTATCCACACACCTACATGTAGGCACATGTAGGCACACATGCAAACGACCTCTTCAGATTAATGTGTTGAAGGATCATCCTGGCAACCATACGGAGACTGAATTTGAAGAGACAGGTCTGGAAGGAAAAGCAGTTACAAAACTGGTGTTTCCCCAGGCCAGGAAGGGAGAATGACGAAACCGTGCATTAGAAAGCGGTGGTGGAAATGAGAAATGAGAGTCCCACACTTCGAGTAATTCAGAAGACAAGACTAGTGTAACTTCCTAGTTATAAGATGCAGGGATAAACAGGAGCAGGGCGGCAAGGCAAGGATCACTCTTGGGATACTGGTCTGAAGAGGGTTACCATTTGGTGACAACATGGGACCCAGGCAAGAATTGGTCAGGAGGTACAGAGGGAGAGGTGCTGTGTTCTTTTCAACATGTCAAAGGAGGTTGTCATGAAATTTTCCATGCTCCCACTGAGCTAAACCCCAATCTCCTCCTCCCAGAATTTTTGTTAGATCCCTTTGCCTCTGTTGACTATTAGGAGAGTTACCACCGAAAATTTAGATTTGGATAGGGAACAGATTAGGTAATAGAGTAGGTGTGCTTGTTCATCTTTAGAGTTTTAATTCAGGAAAGAATGGATCCCTGAGCAATGGGAAAGAGAAATTTAAAAACATTTATGTTTTATTTTATGCATATGAGTGTTGTGCCTGTATGCATGTCTATGTATCACTTGTGTGCCAGGTGCCCACAGAGGCCAGAAAAAGGAATCAGAACTGGAGCTGGAGTAACTGACAGTTCTGAGCCCCCATGTAGATGCTGGGAATTGAACCTAGGTCCTCTGAAAGAGCAACTAGTGCTCTTAACCACTGAGCTATCTCTCTAGGCCCCCCAAATTTTTTTTGATGAAGGTGAAGATGGAGTAGCAATGTTGTACTGGGTTGAAAATTTGTGGGCTGAACAGTCCTGCAGAAGGTGGGGGGAGGTGTGTGACTTTGACCTTTGTATCTCGAGCCTTGGAAAAGAGTGAGGAATCTCCTAACATTGCAAAGTCCCATATATCACCAAATGCCTGCCTACCCCTTGCAAAGCCCTCTAATACTGGATGGAGCAGCTTCGCTTCCCTTCCCTCCACCTATTCTGCCGTCTCCAAGAAGCCAGGGACCTTGAGGATTCCTGGGACCTGGAACAGCTTTTTCTCTAGAGTCCTCCCATGTCACTTGAGAGGCTGGTCATGGGATCATTGTTAGGAAAGGAGACAGGAAATACCTGGTGTGTGTGCTACACCTTTAGGGGCCCTTATGCTACCTTGCACGGGGGGATCTGAGCAAAGCTAGAAAGACCTGATCTCTCAGAGAACGGAGAGAGAGCTTTGTTACCCACCCTCATCTGCCCTGGAAGGACATTATTGCCATAGGCAAAAAGATTCCTGGCTAAGTCTCTACTCTTTAGTCCCTTGGCAATTCAAGTAGCCTCTGACAAACCGGAGTCCAAGGCCACATTCTAAGACTTGTTCCACATGATCCAGTCTCCTGGAGTTTGGCCTCAGTCTGCAGTTGAGGGGCCCCATGGTGTGGTTGCTTGGCAGTATGTTAAATAGCAGGCCTTGGAGACTAGCTGTGGCGTTAACACACCACAACTACTAATGCCATCACTACCTTCTCGGAAAGCAGCCACCTGTCTTGCCCCTGCCTTTTGTCTGGCTGCCAACCTAAAGCATGTGCCTACGCAGGAGGTGATGACATTTTGGCTCTACTTCCAAAGTTTTTTTTTCCTTTCTCATGTGTTATTTTTAAAGATAACAAAGGTCAAAAGGCATCCAGCGTTTTCTGGTTTCTCATAAGCTTCTGGTCAATATTTAATCTGGTTTATGGGTTTTTTTTTTAAGGTTTTCTAGATGCCTTCTTGAGCCTGCTTGTGGCCACCCACAGATACTTGTAAGGAGGAAAGAAGTCAGCTGGCCAGAGACACTGTGAAATGAGGGATTAGAGTCCGGGATCCAAGAAACAAGAGCAGCAGCCAAAAGACAAGCGAACGGGCTCCGAAGGGACTTCTGTTGAGAGGTCTGCCATGGCCTCCCTTGGCGTCCAACTGGTGGGCTACATCCTAGGCCTTTTGGGGCTTTTAGGCACATCGATTGCCATGCTGCTTCCCAACTGGCGAACGAGTTCTTATGTTGGTGCCAGCATTGTGACAGCGGTTGGCTTTTCCAAGGGCCTCTGGATGGAGTGTGCTACGCACAGCACAGGCATCACCCAGTGTGATATCTACAGTACACTTCTAGGACTTCCTGCTGACATCCAAGCTGCCCAGGCCATGATGGTGACATCCAGCGCAATGTCCTCACTGGCCTGCATTATCTCTGTGGTGGGCATGAGATGCACAGTGTTCTGCCAGGATTCTCGAGCTAAGGACAGAGTGGCTGTAGTGGGTGGAGTTTTCTTCATCCTTGGTGGCATCCTGGGTTTTATCCCAGTTGCCTGGAATCTTCATGGCATCCTTCGGGACTTCTACTCACCACTGGTTCCTGACAGCATGAAATTTGAGATCGGAGAGGCCCTTTACTTGGGCATTATTTCAGCCCTCTTCTCGCTGGTAGCTGGAGTCATCCTCTGCTTTTCCTGCTCGCCTCAGGGAAATCGTACCAACTACTATGACGGCTACCAGGCCCAGCCTCTTACCACAAGGAGCTCTCCAAGGCCTGGGCAACAGCCCAAAGCCAAGAATGAGTTCAACTCCTACAGCCTGACTGGGTATGTGTGAAGAACCAGGGGCCAGAGCTGGGGGTGGGGAGGGGTGGTGGCTGGGACTGTAAAGAAAAAGTAGCAGACAATGCCCTGAGGGTCACAGGCATGGTATGTTGCCACTGAATCATGTGTAAGGCGCTGCTGAGGCTAGGCTGACTTTGGCCATCGGATGGAGTGAAGGCAGAGATGGAGACGGGTGTGGCAGCATGTAGGTCCAATTGCCAAGGGCCCTCACCAAGTCAGCTTTTCTATTTTCCTTACCCTGCCCCACCAAGGCACCTCCTGTACTTTGACTGCTCAACCCCAAACTCCAAATCCCATCCCTGCCACTTTTGGCTAAGCCCAGAGTTGCTCCTCTGACCTTTGGTTTACCTGGAAATCTGTGCCCCCAACCTACTAATCCTACTGACTGACCATCTGTGAGCAGAAGACCCTCTCCCTCTGGCTGAGGTTGGCTCTTAACAATTGCTGGGGGACAGAAAGAAGGAGTGGTGGCTTCTGTGAGCATGGCTCTAGCTCCCTTCTCAAACCTCCATCCAAAGACATGGATTGATCTGTAGCAGGCCTAAGCCTCTCTCCCACTTTCATTATGAATGCAGCGTGTCCAGACTGGGCTGTGAATGAACTGAAGGAAAGACACCTCGTGACATCCAGCAGAAAGCAACTGGGTGCAGGATGGAAGGCAATCTGGGACCCGCAAACCGTCGGAATCACTTCTCAGGGCATGTCCTCTCATCCCCATACCCTTGGGGAAGCATAGCTGCAGAAAAGCCCAGGAAGAGAATGGGAAAGCGCAAGGCTGCAGCACTCCGACTGACTCCACCGAGGAATTGCCAAGAAGCTGCAGTTAACAACTACTACCAAAGCCTCTGCCTCCCTCTGGGGTGTCTGACCTAGCCTCCTGGCTAAACCACAAGACTTGGAGCTCTAGACAAAGGTTTCCTTGGGAACAACAAACCAGTTTTTCTAGAACTGCCCTTCAACATGCGAACTGCAGAGGACTAAGAAAGATACTACTCTTTAACCCTGGCCAAGAAAGAATAAGGACTTTGGTATCCGAGAAGCTGGGTGAACATGTATGGTGGCTGTGTGTGCCCCTACTGTTTCAGAGAGGCAGCCCTACCAGAACCTTCAGACTTAATGGAAAAACAACCTCTTGGGTCTATACTCAGAGCCCTACAGTGCCTCCGAAAGACCACAGCACCAGATAGGTCATTGGTCACTTTGGATCCTCTGTCATCGCCCTTCAGGAGGTATTTTGGCCGGTATGCAAGGTCCCCAGTGTGGCACATCTGTTTATGACCTGAGTGACAGGCAGACTGCTGCCTGGGATTGTGCTCCAAGTGGGAGAACAGAGAACGGTTCTCAGCCCAACGGTTTCACTATCAAGGTCTTAAAATGCTCCGTTTCCTCTATGATGCGTGGGGATCAGAAACAAGAGACTTTTTTCCCCCACCAGCCTAATATCACCAGCTTCAGAAGATGTCCATCACACCTCGTCAAAACTTCAGTGCCAGCAAGGGAGGCCTGTACGTGAGGTTTCCTCTAACATGCCTTTCCTATTTCCACCATGTTCAAGCTGGTTTACCGACCTGGAAGCCATTTCCTCTTTACTAAGTCATTCCCATGCTTGGAGAACTTGCTCATCATCACCTCCTTCGAGACTTCTCAGACCACTCCTTTCTGCTCTTACCTCTCCCTCCTCCAACTCCCAATATATAAATCACTTAATGCTTATTAGTCATAATTTTGATTGATAGTTCTCGTATGTGCACGTGTGTGTGTGTGTGTGTGTGTGTGTGTGTGTGTGTGTGTGTGTGTGTGTGTCTATCTGTCTGTCTGTCTGTGTGATCTCAAAAGTTCACTGTAAGTACTTGGAGGGCAGTTGTCATATCTTAGACCTGTCTGTATATATACCCAAGACTGTAACAGTGCTGGGCACACACAAGATGATCAATAAATGCTTGTTGATTGAGCAATTGTTTTATTGATTAAAAGGGGGCTAAGACAGGGCACATGTGATAGAAAGGAATTGGGTTAGGAAGGGCAGGTGGGAACCTGTCTTTGTGTATACAAAGGTACACAGAAAATTCCAGGTTTTGTGAATACAATCAGAATACACGACAATATCCCTCACAAAAGAAATGAAGTCCTTCATCTTGCCCAGAGTTTGTTCTTTTTCAGAAAAGTAAAAATGTACTTGAAAATCACTTAATTGGGGTTGGCTATTCAAGGGTTATGTGCGTATTCCTCTCATCCTCCAACCCACTAACATGAGGAAGCTGAGCCTGACCTGATCATCTCCATTTGGCATAAAGGAAAATGAAGATCCACCCAAGTAAAGGTTTTCCCAGGGCTACATAGCTGGAGTTAGTGCCCTAGTTAGTCTCTTGACTCCGAAAATAGGACCCTGCTGATCCAACAGTTTTCACAGCCAATAAGAACAGCCTTCCAGAAGTTCCTATGCAGTCTAAAGAAATTTACTTAGGACCTGCAAAGTAACAATGAAATATGCAGGCTCCCCTGCTTACCCATGAAGGTGATCTGGGGGAGTGGGAATTCATCAAGCTTTACTTCTGCCGGCTCCTACCATTCTATCTGTCTGACCAGGGGGGTGCCAGGTTGTCATCTAAGATCCAACATCTCGGTTCTAAGTCCTCTAACTCTGGGGAAGTTTGGAATATCAATGATCTGACTTCATAAGGAGATAACAGAGCCTAGTAATAAGTTTATTAATATAATACTAACAAGAATGGGGCCCTGTGAGTTCAGCTCAACCAGTCCTTGAACTTCGGGGGCATCAGCATATAGGAGCTGGTTATTACAAGCAGCAGCCTTGCACTTCTGAAGCAGACCTTCTCTGGTGCACAGGATTGAAGACAGCAGCCAAGTCCATTTAGAGGGAAGGGCCAGGGGGGAGGAGGACCCACTCACTGCATAGTAAGATGTCATCTCTTGTCTAGTACCAAAATTCCCAGTGCTTGACCCAGGACAAATGGGGGCTGAAAGGCGGGTTAGCTTTGATGACTATACCTTGATGAATCCTGAGTATGGTTCTGACTACCCACCATCTGGCAGGCAAGGCATTTTCATCCTCTAAATAGCTCAGGGAAGTAGGTTTTTCACAGGAAAGGACCAAGGTGGTAAGTGAAGTCTCTAAGGTTACAGAGTGTCAAAATCTGGATATAAGCTTGGCAACTCCTCCCATGGTAACATGGATCTGTGATTCTAATCCAAGAAGGTATGTGAGGGCACTGCTCTGCCAATTTGAGGACTCTCCCTCTGTTTGCCACAGACTAGAACGGCTTATGAAGGAGGGGAACAATAACTGCCTTTTGTTTTAGGCTGAAGCTATCCTGGTGCCTCCTACAGCCCCCCCCCCCTCTCTCAAGACAGGGTTTCTCTGTGTAGCCATGGCTGTCCTGGAACTTGCTCTGTAGACCAGAGTAGCCTCGAATTCAGAGATCCACCAGCCTCTGCCTCCTGAGTGCTGGCTGGCATCAAGGGCGTGAGCTGCCATCACTGGCCCTACAGCTTTTCTTAATCAAGAAAGTTTCAATGGAAGGAGTTAAACGTTCATCTTCGGCTAGAAAAATCACAGCACACCCGATAAAAAGCCATGTTTCCCCTTGATTGGTTGAGCAAGGAAAGCCTTGCTCTGAACGGCTTCCTAGAAATTTCCTGAGTCCTGATCCAAACTGAACCGTTTCCAGCTCCTTCATTGCCTTTCCATCATAAAGTAATTTAGATTAACCGTAGACTGAGGGCATATATAGTAAAGGCCATTGTGTTAATGCCCCCACCTCATGGCTCTGACCCTTGTACAAAGGGAGATGTTTTTGGCCTCTTTCTTTCCTCTGATACTAGCATGACTCATGTTTTCCCCTCCTGGGGCCCTAGTGACCCATTATTATGTGATCATTAATGGAGGTGGGGAGACCGAAACTGCCTTCTTAGTGAAAAGGCAAGCCCCATTCTAAGCCCTTTATCCAATCAAATAGTCACTCAACTGTCCAGCCTCTGAGCCAGCCAGTCAGTCAGGCCACACTGCCTGAACTCTTACTCAGGGTAAGATGTGCCAAGTAAGGGCTCTGAGGGCAACAGGAGTGAACACTGTAAAGTCTGTGCCTGGAGGAAGTTGACAGTTAAGGAGGGAAGAAAAGTCATGTACACGGAACTACGGCACAAAGCAGAACAGACGACTGCCCCTCAAGAGATGGTGGGGTACCTAAGATTACAGGTGTCAGTGGCAAATATGTATGTAAATCCCTTTAAATCCCAATCCATTTGAAATCAGGACCCAACACTATTGGAGCTTGGGAAGGTTGGAGGATGATTGAAAACACAACCCTATTTCTTCCAGCTGAAAGTTCTACTGGAGCTTGGGAAACAGAATAGAGGGCTTGGCTGCCTAGGTAAGCCATTATCCCTTCAGAGTTGTTCTCACCAGACCCTCTTTGGGGCTCCAGAAGAGGGAGTGACCCTGGGGCTCAGTCTACTCTCCCTTATCCCCTTCCTTTTGATAGTTCTTTGTAAATCTCTCGGGCAGCAGAAACAGAGCCAATCCAGGTATCCCGGGACCTCTTGGTTTGGGGCTAGAGTATAAACAGTGTGTGAGGGGGAGTGAGTGTTATAGGAAGGTAAGTGAGGCCTTGCAGGGTCAACTGCTCCCTCTCTCTCGGTGAACTGAGGATCTCTTCATGCATGTACTAGCTTCCTGCTCTGGCCACAGAGGCCAGACTGTGAAGTGTGTATCTTCCTCCTCAGCTGGCTGAAGCCTGGCCCTCACCCAGCCTGGTCTCCCTAACCAAGCGGCTCCCTGGCTTTGATGAGAAATACTGTTATCTCAAGAAGGAATTAAACTTCAAACAGGAAGTCCAGCAGGTTATCTCTCTCTTCTGCCCTAAGTGGTAGCTCATTGAATGTTGCGGTGTGATCCCTGATAAAAAAATTAGCAGGTGGCTATCAGGTAGAGTGACACAGAGACTATGATCTGACCACACCTTCTCCCACCCACAGATGACCACACTTCTGGGAACCGTAACTCTCACTCACAATTTTCTATTCTAGAGTCAGTGCTCTGGATGGCAGGCAGGACTTGACAAAGCAGGAAACCCTGTACAAGGGTGCATCCTCCAGCCCCTTTTAGGAGAGAGTTGCTGCGTTCTTGTCATCCCTGAAGTTCTGTTTTTTCAGAATGACCCTCTTACCACTTCACAAGTCACCCAGGAAGGCCTTGAAGAATTCTGCAAACACTCATGATCTTGTAGAGAGATAAAACACTGAGAACATTTGTATACTTTAAAAAAAGATCGTAGGTAGCAAGGTGTGACATTAAATGGCAAATGAGCAGTGTGGCAAGCACACCATCTCTATACACTTATTACTCTGAGATATTTGAGTTCAGAGAGAGTGGCTGGAGACGAAGGGCAGGAGCAAGGAGAAGATGCTCCTTCTAACTTCTTTGCCTGAGTTTGCTTGTGGAATTACCCAGTGGGAAGACAGAGAATCGAGTAGCAGCTCCCACAAAGGACTATTTGATGATACTGTGAACACCCCAGTCCCTTGACTGAAAGGCACTGAAGAGTTTGCTTTAAAAATAAAGTACATTTTCTGGGAAGAGAAACACATTCAGCCACAGATGAGCTACTGACAACAGAAACTGTACTAGTTTCTTGGTTTAGCGTTGAAAGGAGCCAGAAAAGTCCAATTCAAAACAAAACAAAACTACAACAGTAATTGGGAAACACTGGGGAGCAGGAGCATTTTTTTTTAATAATTCATGCATCCTTCAAATAGATGATTCAGCAGCTTCAGAGATGAGGACAGCAGAGAAGTAAGAAAAAGGCAGACAGGGTAAGCAAGGGGGTGCTAGCATCCTGCTGGCATTCCAGGACATCGCGTGTGGTGAATTTTCCTCTTCTTTGTGTAATAATAAACTAGGATGTTCTCAGGTGTCACTTTTTCACTCCCAAGACATGCCCAACTCAGCACAGTCTGGGAAGCGGGGTTCAGAGGAGCCAGAGAGAACACTCCAGGCAGAGGCCAACAAGTCCAAGACCTCCCGGAGTGTAGGAATAGGATCCCAATGACTGTTTTGATATCAGGAAAGCTGCCAAGGAACAGCCTGAGTGAAAAACCCAGTCAAGAGGAAATGAATTTCCAGGTTGTTAGGAGAGATATTCATTACACAAGCGAACGATTTCCGATCATGAGGGCAGTTAAACATTGTGTGTGAGTGGGGACCACTCCTATCAGTGCGGGCTGCCTTTTAGCGTTTTCTTACTGAAAGGAAACAGACTAGACTGGTTATATGGAGCAACTGTCAAGTAGCTAGGTTTCTGGAGTCAGGCAAACCTAGATTTAGATGTTTTTCCTTAGCATTTTGGGAAAGCCATGTCAACTCTTTACACTTGGTTTTCTTGTCTATAAAGTAGGGATAATTCCGCATTTTAGTACAGTCTTGGTTAACTCATCTCTAAACACACTGGTGACCTAAAAGGTTGTATCTGGATCAGTGCTGCATGGGGACACACACACACACACACACACACACACACACACACACACACACACACACACACACAGAATCTCTTGTCTATGCTGGCTTCAACTCTCTATCTCCTTATGCAACTGAGGATAGCCTTGAACTTCTGATCCTTCTGCCTCTACCTCCAAGTGTTTGAGTCAAAGAATGGCAGATGCTACCATTCCTGTTTTATACAGTGCTGGGAATCAGTGAAGACCTTTGCTGCATGCCAGGCAAGAGCTTGACCAACTGGGTTACATCTTAATCCCCAAAGTGCGTTTTCTCTTAAAAAATGTATTATTTCAATTTATTCTCCCCTGCCTCCCCCTCCCCCACCATTTGGGTTCTGGGAAATGAACAAGTTACTGGGATTTGTGGCAAGTGCCTTTACCCACTAAGCCACCCAAGTGCATTTTCTACCATGGATCTGAATTTAATTTAGACAGGGAGTTGTCTTTTCCAGGTCAAAACTTTTCAAGATTCTTTCCTGAAGTTGAAACTGCCTGAAAGAGCTTGGATAAGTTTCTATTTGTAAGGTTCTAGCAACAGAATAAGCTGTGAAAGAAATTGACAGTGATAGCTTTTACCTTCACCTGTAAGAATCTGGGGTGGAAGAAAACTAATCATTCACCAGGTCTCACTGCTAGAGAAGACTTCAGCCCAAGGGCACCGCAGACTAGGGGCTAGCTTCCTGAACTCAGTGATTGTTTAGAAGATTTCAACAGCAACTTTTCTAATTCAGAGCCTCCCAAAGTTCTTTGTACTTCAGGTTGGATATTCACTTTAACCCTTGTGCTTAACCCCTGTCTTCCTATATTTCTGCTACCGTAATTTATACTATTCCCCCAAACTGGAAAATGTTCTCCTCATACTGCACCTTCCAATGCTTTAGGATTTCAGGGCCCATCTGGATGAGTACTTGGGGAGCTGGGCACTTTTTCTCATTCTTCCCTTAAGTTATCTTCTATGTCTTTCAGAACACAATGGGCAGATGTGTGGAATGTGTTTGACATGCAGAAAGCAACCAAAGCAACATTTGTACCACATGATCGAAAAGTAGGTTGGGGGTTTATGGCAAATCACACCAAAATGCTGAGCAACAAAATTTTCATCTTCCGATTTTTATTTTTCATTACAAAACTGGATGGGGGTTATAGTTCACTAGTATCACGTATATTTAGCATGCACAAACCCCTACCTCAATATTCAGGACCAATAAATAAAATAAATTGCTATTCGTGTCTCACTTATGAACTAATTTTTTGTATGTCCAAGACTGTCAGGTCAGTTCGTACAATTATTTCGTTTATTATCCAAAAATGTGCCTTGACTTTTGAGACATGTTCTCACTGTGCAGCCAACATTGGCCTTGACTCTGAATCTTTGTGCCTCGGCCTCTTGAATGCTGAGCTTACAAACCACCTCACTCTGACTTTGTAAAAGATCTATTTGATTTCCATTTATGTGCATGTATCACATGTACATGCAGGTGTCTGTGGAGCCAGAAGAGGGTTCAGATCCCCTGGGGCTAAAGTTGTGGGCAGTTGTGAGATCCCCTGTATGGGTGCTGGGAACTGAAGCTCTGCAAGAGCAGCAAGCTTTCTTACTCACTGAGCCCATCTCTCCAGCCCACACTGACTTCTGAATCAGAGCACATTGTTCCTGATAGAAATCATGAGGTAGGGTGGTCCTCATGAAATATGCCTGTTTTCTTGGAAATCGTACTTGTCATAGCCTGACCTCACATAGAGAGGACTGTTACGCTTCACTCCCAATGTAGTGCTACAGAAATGGGTTTTAATTCACAGTACAGGATTCTAAAGCATGTTTTATCTTGAGATTGCCCTTGGGAACTAAGACTACAGCCGCTTCTTCTAAATTGTTAGGCCAGACAACGTGCAAGCCTCAGCCGTGGGCAAACAAACCTTCCCAAACTCTGGCGCTGCCACCAGATCACTGGTCTGGTCATCATCCAGGTATCCATTCGTTCATACAACAGGCATGTACTGACCTAACACATGCCTGGAACTGGTTTCCTTGAAACTTGCTCTGTTCTTAGCTTGTGAATGACTCTTCTTTTTACAGCTGAAATGAACCACCCTCACCCTTGAAAAGACAGAAGAGGAGTTCTTAGAAATTTTTTCTGTTTAGTTCTTACTCTCAAGATCTGGTGTGTATAGCCATCTCCTGGTTAAATGTTGTCTCTCTCAGTATTCATGTAGATTGTTTGTGTGAAGAACACCCATCTCCCTTTTCTTTTGCATTCTAATTACTTCCATTGAAGAGCTGCTCAAGAGCAACAGCAGGCCCTTCACAGCAACCCCACTCCTGTAGCCGGCAGCAGCTACTGTGTCGGCCTTTCCTTTTCAGAGGTTAATGCCCAGGATGGTTATCTACCTCACTCATGCTGATTTATTTACCCTCTTCCATGAATGGGACATTGTTTTAGATCACTGAGATGGAGATATGAACAGAACACAATTCCATCATTAAACCATTCATTAACAACCATTTATTGCTTATTTACTATATCCCAGGTACTATGATAAGCAGTAGGATACAGTGGTTAGCAAACCAAGCATGGTCTTATAGAACTTACTGAAACAGGTATATACAAACAATGTGTGTTATATTCACCACTGGGTATCACTCAGCCTAGAGTAGGTGCCCAGTGAATATTTTTTTTAATGAATGAAAATGACTAAGTATACAAGCTTGCTATGAACCGGAAACAAAACAAGGAAATGGTGGGAAGATAATATGGCAGAAATAGAGAAAAAATGGAAGGCATATCTAGGAAGAAGATAGAATCAGGAAGAGTGAATCATGCCAAGACTGGAAACACAGCACTCCAGTTGGACAGAATGGGTAAAGAACATCTCAGGAGAAGGCACAGTCTGAGGGCTCTGAGCTTAAGTGAGAGCTTGCTATGTTTCAGTCGGAAGCCAAGTATGCAGGGGAAGGGGCCGTATGTGAAGTGATAAATGATGAAAGATCACTGAGACAAATGTAAGAGGTAGGCAGGGGTCTTGTAAGACACTTGTAAGACAGGGCGGTTTTACTCTAAATGAAATGAGAAGTGAGGTATTGCCTTTAAGCAGAGAGTCACATGATTTGACTTTTATTTTACTTTCTAAAGGTACACCATTTCTAGTGACATGACAATTGTGAGCGCAAGAGAGGATCCAAGGTCTCTAGTTAGCTGTTATGATCCAAGGAAAGGAGTGATGGGAGTTTAGACTGAGGCTGTGGGAAAAGCTAGTACAGTCAAGATTATGCTTTGGAAATAGAAACAACAGACATGTTGACAGACTGGATGTAGGGAATGAGAAAAGGAATTAAGGATGACTTCCAGGTTTCTAGCTTAAGCAACTGAGTGGGAAGAGGTGCCATTTTCTAACATGAAGAAAATTGTGGGGGAGGAAAAGTCCTGGGGTATGTCGCTGTTTATTTTTAGCATGATTTACTTGAAATGTCTGTGAGATATGTAAGTGTAAATGTCAAGTAGGCAGTTGAATATCAATTTGAAGCTTTCTAATAGGGAAAGTAGGATCAGGAAGTTTATGATACAAGTCTTAGAAATGACACAAGGCTTAAACATTCAAAGAAAAATTTCATGCTTTCCTGGGTTAGAGGAATTTTCCGAAATAAGTTGGCATTTTAGCCAAAGGAAAGATGATTAAGAGAACATTCCAAGAGTGGAATAGCAAAGGCAGAGGACAAAAATCTTAAGATGCATTCAGAAATTGAAAAGGAGTTCAATGTAGGTAGAATAGAGCTTTGTGTTTGGCTTGTTGGAAGATGAGTGTATAGAGGAGAGTACCCCAGACAACACAGGGCTTGAGAACCACACTAAAGAATTTGTATAACATTTTGTGGCAAGAGAGAGCAATAATGTCTTTGAGCAGAGACATGACCTGATAAAGTTGTTAAGAGCTATTTAGTGATATTAAGAAGTGTGTATTGAGGAATGAGAATAGGAGATGAGGGAGGCCAATTAAGAATTGATTTCAACTGTCAAGGAATGAGATAACAAGTGCCCACATGCTAACTATGGCCAGTTAAAGGGAAACATTTGTAAGAAGATTTATGTTAACCTCAGAGGAAGGCCAGGAGGAGGCACCTGTTTTCTTTACTGTTAGTACCTGTTTTCATACTAGAATGGCTTCTGGTAAGGATGGGCAACACTCCAGTCTTTCCACAGTGGTATTTAATATGAGTTCGAGACTCACAGGAATATTTATCTCTGATGGGTCACGTTTCATAGTGTTTTGTCTGCAACTAGAGAATCCTTTTATTGCAGCAAGGTTAAAGAATGTATCAGAGGGCAGAGTACCAGTGTAGCCTCTGAGGTTAGTTGACAGCTTGCCATGTTCCCAGTAGACCAAGTGAGCTAGGGCAGTGCAAATGATGAAGAGCTGCTGAAAGGAAGGAAGTATAGGCAGGTTAGGGCAGTGCAAATGATGAAGGGCTGCTGAAAGGAAGTATAGGCAGGCCAGGCGGGCGGTCTGGTCTTGGGGGACATCTGTAAAAGGTTGGAGTTTGAACCTAGGTGTCTGTATGCGGTGTCAGGGTAAATAGGTAACAAAGCAATAGCTCTGTTACTGGAGTGGATAGACTAACACAGGTGAGTGTTGCTGGAAGAAGCAGTGGGGGTTCAAAACCACAGGCTGACAGCACATAAACCAGGGAGTTTGTGCAGACCGGAAGCACCGGTAAAGATGAGTTAAGATTTCAATCTTTCTTCCCCTTTAGAGCTCAATTATCTGCCTCCCCCACTCATCCAACCAATAGCTATACAGACTAAACTTTCCATTCACTGAAATTCCTCCTCTCCTGGGCTCCCATTCACATTATTCTTATCTGTGCAAAAGTCCCACCGCTCCCAGTCCCCATCTGACAAACAAGTATCACTGAGAAAATAACTGCATGTGTTATCCTTCCCTTGTTAATGACCCCATTTAGACAACCGAGGCCTTGGATAGACTGATGCAAATGTTGAACACGGAAGTTAATCATGCAGCGTGCTAAAGCTGGGGTGAGGTAGAGTGGTAGGAGCAGGGGGATGTTTAAGTACCATTCTAATGGTGAAGCCTGGCTGTGGCCTCCTCATATTCTCCACAGACTCACAGGAATATCTATTTATTATGGGCTTCCCGTCAAAGGAGGTCAAGTATTCTTGGGACAGTCTTCTGAAGTAAATTTACTGAGTAAAACAGAATCACTATCCAAAGTGTTTTGTCTGTACTACAGAATCCTTTTACTGCTGGTGGATTCCACCTCCCTTTTATTATTCCTCTCCTCTACTTCCTAGTTTTCAATGCTGAGACACACATATACAGAGGTATACATAGGCATATATATATATATATATATATATATATATATATATATATATATATATATATATTTACTGTACAGCAACCTTTCAGGAGTACCTTTAACTCTTTGGAGACTATATACTACATAAATATAAAAGCAATGGATTCATAAAACATCTTCTTTGCATGAGTATAAGATGTACTATTTCTGTACTCTGAGGTCTACCTCTTATTCTATATAGCCTAGAAAGTATGTAGGTATATTACAAGGGATGGCAACTAAATCTTTCTATTCTAAAATATTTCCCATGATACCTAAAATTTAATAATGTGATGATACATACAAAGTTTTGATCCTTATATATTTATTTTCACATATCTGTTATTAAAATAAAAATGCCATGGAGAATTGATGAGTTGGTTGGTGGGTTCCTTTTACATGAACCTAGTACTCTTACCAAACACATTTCACATTCTGGATTTTTTTTTGCACATTTGTTTATGCTGTCTCCCCAGAGGTAATGTTAAACTCAACATAAATTACAAGTGTAAAATGACTTTATACTTTCATAAACATCTCATTTGACACCCAAATTCAAGCCTACTTGTTAGCTTTCAAAACAATTTATTTTCCAATGTAAGAAGAATAACAAGAATGCTATAGAAAATTTGAAAAGGGCAAGAAGATAGGAAGGAGAAAAACTATCAACCATAATCCTACCAGTTAGGCAACAAGCATGATTGAGAGTGTTGTCATGCTCACTCTTTGACGCTTCGTTTAGGTCCCACTTACGGTGCACTGCCTTCCTTTTTTACATTGCTCTTCTTCATCTTCTCAGTCATCTTTCCACCACGCACACACACTATACCCTTCTTTGGATCATTAGTTAACTTGCTGTGCCTTGTGCTTCCTACTAGAGTGTTTCAACCTTGGCAGGGCTGAAAAGCCTGATTTATCCCACCAGGTACATTGGACCCAACATTTGCTGACCGATTTATCCTAAATGAACACGAACCATTATCAGAACACGAGACAGGCCAAGTATCTAGATCATGACAGTTAGAGCTTTCAGGTCACCTAACTTGGTGACTATTGCGTTTTCTCTTCCTGGACTCTTAAATGGCTGTTGAACGGGTCTCTTTCCCCTCGCCCACACTGAATGTGAAGCACACTGATGAAGAACCAGGACTTATTTAAAGAGTCCCCATATAAGGCATAAAGGTGAAAAAGAAACAAAGGCTAGGGGAGGGAGAGAAAGGAGGAGAGAGACAAGGGAGGGCACACGGCACACAGGCAGACCAGAGAAAAGAAAGCTAGGAGAGGATATATAGTCTGGTGCTCAATCCAGTATGTGATTTGCCTCCAGCACCGTGTACAGGATCCCATCCACTTGTTCGGAGTCATACCCGATCTCACGAAGCTCCAAGTGAGGGAGGACAGAAGTAAGGAGATAGCTGACGTGGATACGTAGCCGCGTAAGCTTTGCCAAAGCCCTGTATGATGGAGTGAGGGGGCAGGAGAAGAGATGACATGAAGTCATTAGCCAACAGAATAAAATGAAGTCCCTTCAAAATGGGCCTATATTTCTTAACAATTATGTCTCCGTTAGGTAGAAAGAAGACAGAAAGCACCATGCCATCAAACACAGGGAGATTGGCTGCGGCTTTCTAAGAAATAATTACTCAATCCGTGGTGGTCAATGAATTAAGACTTTCGCCCTTGTCTATGACCAGTAACTGGCAGGGGGGTCGGGGGGGGGGGGCTTATCAGAAACTTCCCATTAGTACTCACAAGCTGATAACTAAACCCTAGTAATTAACCTTTCTAGGTCATCTCCCTCTGGCTTCCGGCAGGAGACCTGGGCCTTCTGCAGTACTTCCAGGTGTGTCTCTGTCTCTTTCAGTTTCTCTTTTAGTTCTTGCTTCTCTTCTTTGGTTCTTTCTAGTTCAGCTTTCAGAACCTGGAATTCAGCTTGGCGATAACCCATATGCTTCTTGCTCCAGTATAAGCCTTCTGTCTCCTGGGTGCTATAGGTCACCAATTCATGTTGAACTTTCTTAAACTCAGAATGCCAATGATTCTTCTCCTGTTCCAGCTCCTCTACCTGCAGTCCAAGAAAGAGAAAGTCAGTGACCCACACACGAAAAGCTAGAGTATCCCAAACCGTTCTGACAAAATCTACCCTGTGGTTCCATTATTTGTAATGCATTATTATACTTATGCAAATCTCTTGTCAAACCTAAAATACAGAGGGAAAGCCCATTAGGGTCCACACAATCTAGGACATAGTTTAAACCACAGACTGGTTTAATGACATATTTTGTTTAAAAGCTTCAGAGTACAAAAGAAATCACCAACATATCAACACCCCAGTCCAGTTGTTCTCAACCTGTGGGTCGAAAGCCATCAGGATTTCAAATGACCCTTTCACAGGGGTCATCTAAGACCATTAGAAAACACGGGTCTTGGGCTGGGGAGATGGCTCAGTGGTTAAGAGCACTGGCTGCTCTTCCAGAGGTCCTGAGTTCAATTCCCAGCAACCACATGGTGGCTCACAACCACCTGCAATTAGATCTGGTGTCCTCTTCTGGCCTGCAAAGACACATGCAGGCAGAACACTGTATACATAATAAATAAAATAAATCTTTAAAAAAAAAAAAGAAAACACGGGTCTTTATATTATGATTCATAACAATAGCAAATTTGTAGTTATGAAGTAACAACAAAATAATTTTATAGTTGGGGGTCACCACAACATGAGGAACTGTATTAAAGGGTCACAGCATTAAGAAGGCTGAGAACCACTGCCTTAGTCCCTTGCTTACAATGACCTTGTCTTATCCCTAGTGGTAATGCATTGCCCAAACCTTTTGCTGGAACAAATTCCTTTCAGCCAAAACACGCTCCAGTTTTTCCGTGGTTCTCTTCAATTCCTCCAATTCTTTCTGGTTCTTGATCTTTGGCATGTTGCGCCCTCCGCTTTCCTGGCAGCCTTTTCCTTTCCCTGCAGTGGTTGCTGCGGCAGGGGCCACAGAAGAATAAGGATTCCGGGATCCTGCTGCCTTTCTTCTCCCTACAAACTCCTCCCTGTTAAAAGGGATTAGCTGGATGGGAGCTCCTGAATCTGTAAGTCCCTTCGCAACACCGACTACAGCTACAAAAGGCCCTTTATTCACTTCTCTGTTTATGTTCTCGCTACTGCTTCTGTTAGATTCTTCTGCTACCAATCTTGGCATCTGATCTTCTAGCTCTTCAGGAAGCAGGGACTCCTGGTCGTGGTCCTGGGCCCCTGGACCAAGTGCCGGAGCTTCCTGGTTCCGCTCTATATTCTTGTTTGCTTCTGGGTATTCTGGTAGGAGGTATGGTGGTGTACTTCTCTCAGAACTGAATTGATCTTGGCTGTTGTCTCCTTCTGGGTGGGCTGCAGCTGCTTCTGCCCTCCTGTAAGGACTGGACATGGAGTAATCTATAGGAGATGGTATCATCTCGCTCTGGAGCCTCCTTCGTTTCTCCACAGGCTCCTCACCGAGCATCAATTTGTACTTACTGCAAAAAGAAGAAATCGAATTGTAAGCTGTCACAGGACAGGTTAAGAATATTCTTATTCTACAAAGTCCCCCCTCAAGGCACATATTCTTTTAGGTTAGGACTATTACTGCCATGGCTGTGATGTGGTTTCTTCCCTGAGAGGGTGCTGAAAGCTGTCCCCAGCATGTCAATGTTAACAGGGAATGCGGGACTTTTAAGAAGAAGCCCCCTTGTGGAAGGTTGTTAGGTCACTGGGGGGTGTTTTCCTCCGAAGGGATTAAAGCAGCACTCATGGGACCCCGAGTGAGTTCTCAGGAAAATCAGAGACTATAAAAGACGTAATGGCTTTCTCTCACACACAACCCTAACACTGTGATCCCACCCACCATAAGGCTTTCACCAGAGCCAAGATGATAGCAGGGCCATGCTGTGCCCTTGAATCTCTGGACCTGTAAGCTGAACAAACATGTTTTCTTGTAAAGTTACCCAGTCTAACGAATTTTGTTAAATTAACAAAGTAGGTAGTCCAACAACTCAGCTCCCCCACCCCAAGCCTCGAGCCCTTCACTTGTGCAACTGATTAAACCGGCAACTGGTACTAAGGGAGAAATCAACTTGATAGGTGTTAAGGGTCAGCATGAGAATAAAACATGAGGAGGCTGGCCTTGGTAAAACATTTTAAAAATGAATTTGAAACCAGCCTAACTGTGAAGCTTCCTAAAAGCAAATAGAGGAAGACACAAAAACTGTACACACACACACACACACACACACACACACACACACACACACACACACACACACAATCTCTTAACACAGAATGGAATAAAGGGCCATTAAAGAAGCCTAGCACTGTATGCAGAGAGTAAAGCCAGCTCGTTAATTTTAAAGTATCACAAACCCTCCGGTATCAAAGACTTAACACATTTTTATATTGCAATAGAACTCCATACAATTCCTTGCCAGCCCAGTGGATTATGGCTATTGCACATTATTCACTTGTAAAAGTTAATTAAAACACAAGGCCCTAGTTAGAAACAAAGAAAGTAAACCTGTCAGTTCAAGTCATTTCCCCATTATGACCAACAACTTCACTGGGTCAGGCACAAACTGGAGCTCCCTTTGCTCTTCAGAGAAACCCAGGATCATGGTCTCAAATCCCCTTCCTTTTCTGGCTGCTACAAGCACTAATGGGTGAAGAACCTATCAAAATAGCTGGTGCCAGAGAAATCCATAGTGATTTTCAATAGGCAGAAGGACTGGAATGCCATTTTCATTCTTGTAATTGCCCTCTCCAGGTGACCAAGAGATGCCAAGGTAAAAATCAGCTGTTGAACTTGTAGCGAGAAACGATCAGGCATGTAATTAGTCCCCTCAGGAGGACCTCAAGGCCACCCCTATCTCTGTGGTTTCGGAGAACAGCTGTGAGACATCTCAATCTTAACTTCTCATGCTCTATGAGTTTTTCAGAACCCAAACTGGCCTGCCATCTCAACAGCTCTTGTGTTATCCTTTAGCAGTTTGTATAAAATACTACACAAAAAGGAAAGCTGGACATATTGGTGCATGCCTGCAATCTGGACACTTGGGAAGCCGAGGCAGGAAGACTGATACAACTTGGAAGCCAGCCTGGGCTACAGGCCTGTCAGGGAGGGCTGCAGACTGAAGCTTTCTAAAACAAACAAACAGACAGACAGACAGACAGACAAAGACAAAACAAGTTTTATGAAAGGTAAATTAAGTTGTATTATGTGCCTGATCTTCATTTGCCCAACTCTAAGGGCTCTGTTCTTAACTATTTCCACTTTTGACTATGATGCTTCCTTTTAGCAATTTCAGACATGTTGGCCCCAACCGATGGGAGGGCACACCTCCCACGTTCTCCTAAGTCCTAACCCCAATGCTGACTTTAGAACTGCTTAGCACACCTTTCTTCCTGGAGGTCCCAATGGATCTCTAACTCGGTGTGTAAAAACCCGACTGTTTCCTTCAAACATGTTTCCTCTCTCCTGCTTCTTACTGCTGTCAACAGCATCAAACTGTCAGCAATTTTTACGGTTTTATATGGTGACTTACACTACCAACATACTGGCTGAGGCTATCGTTACCACTCTAGATTGTTGCAATGGCTTCCTGTGACCTGTTTTCCCTCCAGCTCATCCACTAAGTTAATCTCCTAAAGGCCAGCTTCAGCTTATGCAATTCCTTTTTAAAATTTTTTATGTGTTGCTCCCTATAACATAAAAATTTAAATGTGTTAACTGGACAATCAAGCCTTCTCATGCCAAAACACAAGGAATCTCTTTGCTAGGCAGTGTGTGAAGCCTTATCTGTTTCTCTCAATTGGAGGGCAGATGGTAATATTATCTTAACTGCTTTTAAGGGCTGATCAGGAAGAGGTTATAATCGACCACCTGCAGTTGCTAAGTAGAGCTGGGGTATATATATAATTTGGCCCTAACTTTATCTTCCATTACTTCCTTCATAAACACTAAACGAACTGAATTGCTGGGTGATTTCTTATTGTGACCCATTTGACCACAACAACCTTCTCTTTTCTGACATTGCACACTGAAATCCTGCTTGAGAGCTACTTCGTATGTTTGGAGCATTGTGTGTGTGTGTGTGTGTGTGTGTGTGTGTGTGTGTGTGTGTGTGTGTGCGCGCGCGCGCGCGCGTGCGCACGCACATGTGTATGTGGAGGCCAGCAGTTAACATCAGGGATAGTTCTGTAAGAGTTATCTACCTTGATTTTTTGAGAAAGGGTCTCTCACTGGGGCCTGGGGCAAGGTTAGCTGGAGAACGGGTCCCCAGGGACTCTTCTGTCTGTTTCCCCAGTGATGGGATTACAAGCATGCATTGCTGAATCTGGCTTGTTATGTGGGTGCTATGGATGGAACTTGGGTCTCTGTGCTTGGGTAGTAAGCACCTTTTATCAACTGAGCTGTCTCCCCAGGACCTCTTGTAACAATTTTAACATTCTTTTATAACATGTACTACCATCTATGGGATATGTGTGTACATGTATGTGTGCACACCCTACTGGAGTACAGAATTGGAACCTCCTTGACAGAGAGCACTTAATTGTGGTAGAAACAGATGGACAAAACTTTCATGCAAGTGTAAATAAAAATAGGACTATCATGCCAGTTGGTGGTGACACACGCCTTTAACCCCAGCACTCAGGAGGCAGAGGCAGGTGGATCTCTGAATTTGAGGCCAGCCTGGTCTACAGAGTGAGTTTCAGGACAGCCAGGGCTACACATAAAAAAAACAACAAAAAATACAACTTTTGTTTGTTCTATATTTCTCCAGAAACTCTGATTCTTTTCTCTAGGAATATCGATCCTCATAATGGGACCTATATCCACTCCTTTGGTAAAGATTACCAAAATTTGTAGGCTTTATATGCTAGGAATTCAACAACATTGTTTTCTTCTCATTTTTTCTTTTTGTCACATTATTTGTTGTTACTTTACATTTCACATTATCTTCTAAGTAGTTTACATTTTCTGACAATACCTTCCTTCTGCTACTTCCAAAGGCTTCCTGAAGCACTTTTCGCTATTTGACTGTGAGTTGAGCATTTCACAAACAACACGCCGAAGACTATATTGAAACAAAAATATTTTAGTTTTTCAACATTCATTCTCATGCTTTTGACTCTGTTTAAGACACCATAATAGGCAAAAATATGGATCAAAACCGTGGCTCCTGTACAGTATGTATGTACTTATTGGTGATGACCTCCTTAAAAGGCTGTGCATTTACCCAGTTAGAGTACACATGTCCATCAACAGCAGTTCTCTGCGTCAGACTCTGGAGCAGCTGGGATAACAAGCCTGGCTTTTCATAACTGGTCTCTTTTATTTAGCATGTTTCCAACATTTATTCAAGTTGTATCAGCATATTACTGTCTCTCTAGTGTTAAAATGGTTGAGTATCACCCCAATAATTGACATGTAAAAAGCTAATCACCCTTGTGAGATACAAAATATGGAAACTTAATTCAAGTATGCTTAGAGGCAGGTTCTTTGGGAGGTGATTAGGGTTAGATAAAGCCATTAGGGAAAACCCCCAATGATTCCTGATGAGGGTCATCAAAAGGAGAAGGAGAAACAGAAAATCAGGGAGAGAGAAGAGGAGGACAGTGGAGAGGGAAAGAGACCGACAATGTAGAGAATACAGATGCAGACACAGATGTTTGCTCCCTGTCTCTTGCCATGTGATGCCTTGCACCACCACAGCACTCTGCCAGCAGGAAGGCCTTCCTTCTCCAGAGCTCCTGATGTGCTTCTTACATTTAAAGCTTCCAGAACTAAATGAAATACATCTGATTTTTCATAGAGTTACACAGTCTAGGGCATTTCATTATAGTAACAAAAAGTTTATTATTACAAGTTCTTTATATGACTGGGCAATATTCCATTGTACGACTTTTTAATTTTAAATATTTTATTTTTTCTTTGAGATTATCATAAAATGTACTTTGATCATATTCCCTCCCCAACTCCTCCCATATCTACTCTATCCATCCTCTTCTCCTTAGCTACCCAATGTTGAGTCTTCTTTTTGTGTTTTGCCCCCACCAAGTCCAGTTTGTGTTACTAGACTAGTCTTAGGAGTGGGCCTACCCTGGAGTGTGGCTGACCTACCAGGGATCATATAATTAAAGAAAACAGGACCATGTCACTAGATACAAAAAAGACCGTTGACAAAACCCAACATCCCTTCATGATACAATTCCCAGAGAATTTAGGGATTCAAAATCCGTATCTCAACATATCAAAGATTCAATCACAAATTTCCTACATCTGATAAATATATTCAGCAAAGTAGCAAGAAACAAAATAAACACTCCCCTTTTCTCTCCCTCTCCCCCCCCCGTGTCTCTCTCTCTCCCCCCAGCTCCCTCTCTCTCTCTCACACACACACACACACATACACACACAGAGAGAGACAGAGAAACAGAGAGCAACCTTTCTATATATAAACAACAAACATATTCAGAAGGAAAT